AGAAGATGAGTGGGAAATCTTCAAAAAGATCAGATACGGATAAAAAGCATGATACTGAAAGGAAAGGGAAAGCTCAGTGCTTTAACTGTGGGAGCACTGATCATTTTGCAAAAGAATGCAAACAAAGAACCCAAAGCTCGGATGAATACTGGAAGCAGAAGTACAACAAGCTGGTTGAGAAACTGAAAGCAGAGAACTTGGAACATAAAGTTCTTGTCGCTGAAGAAGAAAAATGGAAGACTGATGAGGAGTCATCAGATGATGAAGTTAAGTGTCTGATGGTCAAGATAGAAGACACTGATGAATGTAAAGTCAGCAACAGTTCATTTGATGTTGATATGTCTGATGCAGTGGAAAACTCCAGGAAGCACAACACTCATTCTCCTTAAATGTATTAGGTTCAAAACTTTGGTTCATATTCAATGAATGAAAAAATCAAAATTTTTGAGTATTTGGGTGTTCTTAATTCTTAGAAGAATCAAACCATAAGAGATATGCAAAATCAAATTGATCTTCTTAAAACTGAACTATCCTTAAAAAATAACATTATTAACACTACTCAGGAAAATCTAAGAGTTACTAGTTTATCAAATTCCTCACTATCTGCTGAAATTGATAAAGTTAAAGACCTCTTGAACAAAGAACAAACTGTTTAAAACTTTGGGCTAAATCTCACAAAAATGCTAATTATGTTATTTCTGCTCAAATACCTCACTCATGTGAGAAAATCCTTGGGGGAAATTTTGCTGAAGCATAAAAGGTTATTAAATCTCAAGAAAAGGAATCTGAATTTTATTCCATAAATGAATTAAAAGATAGTTTCAAAAACACATTTATCAGCAACACCTTTATTAATCAGAGTCTCGTTGATGAACACTGTGTTACTGACTCTAATGGTGTTACTAAGTGTAATATTGAAATTACTGGAATTGATCCTACTTCTTATCCTGCACATCTTGTGAGACCAACTCCTCTCACTGAAAATATTATTGTATTTCCTATCTCACACGGAGTGTTTCATGCTGTTCATGAACAACTTGAACAATATCCTGATTGCAGTGTTTCGGTACATAAGTCTAAATCTGATACTGATGTCAGCTCCTCATCCATCACTGATTGAAGTTCTTCTGACACTAAATTCTTTAGTAATTCAATGTTAAATAAAAGGAGTCAAAGTTCACTTGGTGAATCTTTCAAGTATAAATGTGTTAAATCTAAAAATGTGTTTACTAAGAAAAACTTTCGTAATAGAATTTGCTACAGGTGTGGTGATTCGACTCACAAAATCAGTGAATGCAAGTTTGATAAAACATCATTAAGAGCTTATAACATCAAAGTTAGAAATGAAAAATGGACTCTTAAATCAAATTCTTTAAACTCTCTTCCTAAAGAGTGCTAAAATATATTGTCAAATAACTTTGTGAATGACCCATCTTCCAATGGGTCAGTGTGTTCTAACTAGTTTCTCAGCACTGCAGGGTTAGCAGCATCTTTGGTACTTAGATAGTGGTTGCTCAAGACATATGATAGGATCCAAGTCTCTCCTGGACGACTATGTCAAGAAAACTGGTCCTGCAGTAACATACGGAGACAATGGAAAGGGGTTCACTAAAGGATATGGAAATATCAAGTGCAATAATGTGGTGTTTCAGAACGTTTCATATGTAAAGCATCTCAAACACAATCTTATCTCAATCAGCCAATAGTGTGATGCTGATTATGAAGTTCACTTTACAAAGACGGAAGGTAGAGTTGTTAACACTGACAAGAACATCATACTTTCAGCAAGTAAAAAAGATGATATATATGTTCTTGACATGTTCTCAAGTGACAAGGCGCTGATGCAATGTTTCTTTACAAAGTCTCAAACCAATCTCAGTTGGATTTGGCACAAAAGGTTCTCTCATTTGAACTTTAAGAATCTATCCAAAATATCCAATCAAGATCTAGTTAGAGGTCTCCCAAAACTAAGTGTTGTCAAAGACAAGATGTGCTCAGCGTGTGAACAAGGAAAACACACCAAGTCATCATTCAAACCCAAGTTATGTTCTAGCATATATGTTCCTCTTCATTTACTACACATGGACTTGTTTGGACCTATTCCTATTTGTTCCCAAGGAGGAAACAAGTATACTCTAGTGGTTGTGGATGAATTTACTCGATTTACATGGGTGGTTTTCTTGAAGAAGAAAAGTAATGCTGCACAGGAAATTATCTCTTTGATTTGTAAAAATGAGACACTAACTGGTCTCAAAGTTAAGCAGCTAAGGAGTGATCATGGCACTGAGTTCCGGAATTCAACTCTTGAAGAATTTTGTGATTATAAAGGCATTGGGCAAAACTTTTCAGCTCCTCGCACTCCTCAACAAAATGGAGTTGTTAAACGAAGAAATCGAACACTGATTGAGGCTGGAAGGACCTTAAGGATTCATGCTGGTCTTCCTATGTCGTTTTGGGCTGAAGCTGTTAATACAACATGCTATACTAAAAATCGATCTCTAATTCATAGGATTCACAAGAAGACACCATATGAGATGCTGAAAGGTCGAAAGCTGAACATATCCTTCTTTCACGTGTTTGGATGCATTTGCTATATTCTTAATCAGCGTGATCCAAGATCAAAATTTGAGCCTAAGGCTAACAAAGGTATTTTTATTGGGTACTCATCTATTTCAAAAGCTTTTCGTGTTTTTCATGTGAACAGGCAGTGCATTGAAGAATCCATTCATGTGAAGTTTGATGAGGAATCATACACTGATGAAAAAGTAGCTCATTCTTCCTCTATTTTTCAAGAGCTTCTCTATTGACCATATGATGAAGTTTCTCATGCTGAAGAAGAAACTACTATTCTTGATCCTATCATTCCAGATCCAAGTTCCTTGAATCAAGATACTGCAGTTAGCTCAACAACTCATTTGTCTGATACTGATGAAACTCTTGAGAATGAAGACCCTCCCGCAACTGATGTTCCCTTCGGCAATAACACTTCAGCATCAAATCTAGTGGAATTAGCTTCTGGACATCGAGATCACCCTGTTGATCAAATTAGTGGGAATCTTCATGATGGTGTCCGAACCAGATCTCGTGTATCTAATAATTTTTCCATGTATGTTAATTTCGATTCAATGTTTTTACCTAACAAGATACACACAACTCTTCAAGACGCTGACTGGATTAAAGCCATGCAAGACGAGCTGAACGGGTTCGAAAGGCACCAGGTTTGGACCCTTGTTCCCAAACCATCAGGAAAGACCATCACCGGAACACGCTGGGTCTACCGCAACAAGGTTGATAAAGATGGCATCATTACTCGCAACAAAGCAAGGCTTGTTGCTCAGGGATTCACTCAAATTGAATCCATCGACTACGGGGAGACTTTTGCTCCAGTTGCTCGCATTGAAGTAATCAGACTGTTTCTCGCATATGCATCATACATGAACTTCATTGTCTACCAAATGGATGTCAAAATGGCATTTCTTCATGGTGAGTTACAAGAAGAAGTATTTCTCAAAAGTCCATATACAACTTTCGATACTTAAAGGCCACTCAGAACTTGGCACTGTGGTACCCTCGTGACTCAGCGCTTGAACTCTTTGGATACACTGATTCCGACTATGCCGGTTGCAACTTAGACAAGACGAGCACGTCAGGTGGATGTCACTTCCTTGGAAATCGAGTAACCAGCTGGTCCAGCAAGAAGCAAACCTCAGTAGCTATCTCCACTGCAAAAGCTGAGTATGTTGCAGCTGGGAGATGTTGTGCTCAAATCCTATGGATTCAAAATCAACTTTTAGATTATGGGCTCAAATTCACAAATACTCCTATATTCTGTGACAACACCAGTGCCATTCAGATCACACAGAATCCGGTTCAGCACTCAAAGACAAAGCATATAGAGATCAGACATCACTTCATCAGAGACAATGTTGAGAAAGGCAAGGTTGTTTTACAGTATGTCAAGACTTCCGATCAACTAGCTGACATTTTCACCAATGCCCTGGATACTCAAACTAATGCTCACATCATTGGCGAACTTGGAATGATCACTCTCGATTGAAAATTTGTTTTACTAATGTTTGTTATTGTCTTATACACTAATATTTTTTTACTGATGATGATGCGCTGATGATGTTTAGCATGCTGAGTACATTGTATGATCTCTTAACTCTTTCTCTTCTACAAATCTTTTAAACTAAAGTTGAATGATTCACTGTATTAAACCATACACTGATAACAACTTGAAACTCTTTGCCGATGGTTAGACAAAACACCAAGTTCTATCACACGCAACTATCCACTCTTACCAATCTTACACTGATTTTTTTGTGATTCGGTGTGACAAAACACATGCTGATGAGAATCTAACAGTCTTTGCCGATGGTTAGACAAAACACCAAGTTCTATCACACGCAATTATCCACTCTTACCAATCTTACACTAATTATGTGATTCGGTGTGACAAAACACATGCTGATGAGAATCTAACAATCTTTGCCGATGGTTAGACCAAAACACCAGTGTCTATCACACGCAACAATCCTCTCTTCACCTTCTTCTCACTCAGTGTCTAATGATTTAGTAAGAAATACCACTCACTGATAAAGACTCGACACTCTGTGCCGATGCTTAGATAATTAAACTAGTATCTATCACACGCACCAATCACCTTGCTAACCCTAAACAAGCAAGTTCTACCTTGAATTGACGACAAACTATCTTGCAACATGTAACTTTCCGTGATAGCAATCTCAGCGCTTCCGCAGTCACTGATTGTCGTTTCCTCTTTGGTACAATGGCTCTATTTACCCAATGGCTATTTTTTTGATTTGACAGTCTGGCAAGATACGCAGTTATTTTCGCTAATGATAATCATGACTTTTTACCGTTTCATTCCTTATTTAAACCTTTTCACATCTTCACCCAAACCTCTTTACCTTCCTCCAATCTTCTCACTCTCTTAAAAAAAACAAAAAAAAACCCTAGAATCCTAAACTTCTTCAATGGCGGCGTCACTGTTCACCTTCTCCTCCACTTCAAGAAGAGTCGTCCCAGCTCCAAACTCTCCTCCTCTTTCCATATACATCAAAGCCACCAACGTAGTTTTCAACACTGATATTCCAGATGTTCATAGAGGTCTTGGACTTGATGATTTTGTTAATTTCTTAGTCTCCTGCCGACTCCGATGCGCAATCAGTGACGTTCCATCAGAGTTCTTTCCTGAACAAGTCTGTGAGTTCTACTACACTACAACAATTAATGATGAAAACAACGTCATCTCTGGGACTATTGGCCATGGAAGACACTCAGTATTTATTACCGTTGACCTCCTCAGTGTTGTGCTCAGGTTACCAATCTTTGAACCCTTCTCTGAGCTTCCACCTATTGAACGCTGTCGACGTCTCTTTGATCAACTGGGATATGATCACTCAAAGGCTGGTACTCGATCAGCTCTCATTCTGCATCAATGTATGACTCTAGGATGGAAGTTCTTCACCGATGCTCTATGCAAATTTGTGGGTCACAAATCTCGCAGTGGTGATCAACTGAGCACTTATGAGCAACAAGTCGTCTGTTCCCTTCTTCTCAACAAACGACTTGATTATGGGGCTTTCTTCTTTGATCAACTTGTTCAACTTCTTCGTGCAAATGCACGCACTGATCATGTCCCCTTTCCACGCTGGATTGCTCTTGTGCTAGATAAATTTTTCGATGAAGCTTACTACTCACACTCTGGAAACCCCATCCAATGCCCACACATGTCAATACGAATGTATCAGGATGATCCGTTGGAAACTGACATCGGCATCTCTGATCGGATGAGAGAATGGATTGCAAATCCATATACTGTTCCTTCACTAACCGCTGATACTGATGAAGGAGCTGATGGTAACAACGAAGATCATGTTGATCAAGTAGCTGAATCACAGGATGCTGGTCATCTCTCCCCTTAACTTTCTCATCATACTCTCTTTGTCACTGAGAGAGTTCACTCAGCTCAAGGGAAGCCACTAATTCAGGTGGAGCAACCATCCCAGGGGGAGCCACCATCTCAGGAGGAGCAACCATCCCACGGGGAGAACCCATCCCAGGGGGACCAACCTTCTCTGGGGGAGCAACCTCACTCACAAGAAGTTCCAGGTACTTCATTCCTTCATATACCAGCCTTAGAATTTAATGAGCTTCTGACACTGACTCGGGACATGAGTCAACGTCTTCTACGAATTGAGGCCGATGTACATCAGCTGAAGGGAGTTCTCTTGCCAACTCCTTCCCCTGGCCCACACAATGATGATGATCAAAAACGGGGAGACACTGATGATGATCCAAAAGAGGGAGACACTGAATCTGTTGAGCTTGAATCTGCGGACAACACTTTAGTTCAGACTGAGCCACCACAGCCGATGCACGAGTCTGATAGACCAGCTGCTGACGAGTCAGATAGACCAGCAGATACTGAACAGATTGCTGAAGATAGTGAGCATGATGATGAATATGATGATGAGTGTCAGATGCTGTACATGAACTTCATTGATCCCACTATTCCAGCTCAAGGAGAAGCCTCTGAGGATAATGAAGATGAACATGATGATGAATGTCAAATGCTAGATATGAAATTCATTGATCCCATTATGCCAGTCCAAGGAGAAGATTCAGATGTAGCTAGTGAGGATACTCAACCTCTATCTCGCAAGCACAAGGCATCAGATACTAAATTGGCATCTTCACACACTGATACTTCTCTTCCTAGCAACAAACATATGTCCATCGTCAGCATATCCAACTTGGCAGCTGAATGGAACATGTCTCCTGATCAAGTTAAGCAAATTCTTGATGAAGCCAATCAAGCTCAGCTTCTAAAGAATATTGCTCAAGCTGATGAATCCCTCATTCAACATTAACTTCAGGCCAAAGCATCCTTTGAAGCTCAGATGCAGAATTTCTTAGAATATCAGTGCAAATCCAAATCTTCCCAGCCTCCTCCCAATAGCAGCAAGTCAAGAACTGAAAATGTTCTAGACAGGATTGATCGAAAGAGGTTTCAAGATGTTCTTAAACGATGAGTGAGCAGTGACAAAATCATCAAAGTTAAAGCTTCTAAACCTCGTAATGAGAAAATTCTTACATTGCTGATCACTCGTCAAGGTCCTCAACATCCATACACTGAAGTTGTCAATAGGGATGAGCTGATCAAATACAGATATTCTGAATGGATGGAATTGCTCGAATTAGCATCCAAGCAAACTTCAGCTCTCTCTTCAGAACTGACATGTGCTCTCCATCTACTGATCAAGAAAGTTCAGCGCTTGGATCTTGTTCCTATACAACACTCTCAGCAGCAAGGCCAAAGTTCCTCAGCTCCTAGAATCCGAAGGACCATATTTCAAGTTGATAGTGAAGATGTGTTGGTTCTAAATTTTGGTGGTGCAGGAATAAACAACTCTCTTCCTATCGGTGTTGAGCCGGTTCAACATAAGTTTATCTCTGTTCCTGAACATGGAATGTTTTATCTCGATAAAAACAGAAGAATGTGCTTTCAGCGCACCACAGAAATTCCAAGAGCTCCAACAACACATCTTGTTGGCTTAAGACAAATGTGCATGAGTCATCAAGATCTATCTGGAGAGTTTCACATACTGATAGCTATGGAGCTGCTGAATAGAAGACAGGAGCTGTTGGATAGTCCTTACTGGCCTGTGAAAATAGAAGTTGAAGCTGAGTATGAAGAATTTTTGTCTAGAGGTGTTCTCGTATAGCTGTTGTTTTGAACATCATCATATTGGGGGAGATTGTAAGGTCGAACCTTATAATTTGATGATGTTTGACACTGATCCATCAGCATCAGTGTCAGCATCAGCATTAGTGTCAGCATAAAAGTTGTTGAGTATATATATTGTCTTATATGTAACAGATTTAGTATTTATCTTGTTTCCATAGTTATCATATATTAGTTAGCTGGAACTTCCCTGATTTGTAGTGATTGTCTATAATAGTTCTATATAATCTTTTGTACGGGTTTGTGAAGGGGTTGTCTTTCACAAACCCAAATAGTCGCTTTGTGCGAACAATAATCTCTTTGTGAGATTATCATTCTTAGTGAAAGCTCTTTGTGATATTTCGTTGTTCTATTCTTATTATTAGTCATTGTTTGATAAATCGATTGATCTAAGTTCCTTTCAAATCGATTGATCTAAGGTCCTTTCAATCACACTTGTAAAAACATCATTGTTGTCACACCCCGAAAACCGAAGGCGGAAACATTTTCGGGGTTGACTCCACGTTGAGTATCAAATCCAATGCACATAGTAAGTAAAGTAAAACAACCATTACATTACATAAGAAATGTTTTACAGTTGTTTCAAAAGTAAAGTTTGTACAGTTGTGATACATAATATATATATATATATATATATATATATATATATATATATATGAACGAAATGAAACGGGTCTTCTGAAAACTCCGTCTTCTGGCAAAAGGATCTTCGAGTACCTGTTCTAACGCTGACCTGAGAACACAAGCGGTTTGAAAATCAGCATAACGCTGGTGAGTTCATAAGCGGTTTATGTTTGTGAAATTGTTCAAGTTTCCTTTCTGTTTCTGAAATGTTATGCACACCAAGAAAATCCCATATTTTCTTAAAAAGGTTGGTTATCATTTGTCAACATGTAAAGTAAAGTTGTACACTGAAAAACATGTTTTCTCTTGCAAAGATATATAGTTAGGTTATCTGGATTGACGTATTGTTCTGGTTATGTACCAATGTATTCCCAGGAAAGTCCCATACTTTCTTGATTTGTATGTTATCAATTGTGAAATATGTACAGTTATCCGGTTTGTTATCCTTTCTGGTTATGTAAATGTTTCTCCAGGAAAGTCCCATACTTTCCTGAATGTTGGTTACCATATCTAAAAGATGTATTCATGTTAGGCTGGGTTATGTACAAGGCTTCCCAGGAAAGTCCCATACTTTCCTGAATGTAGGTTACCGCATGTGAAAGATGTATTAAGTTGTTCGTTATTATTATAAGTACATCTTTTTTATCCTAATTGCGAGTTCCATAACCATACGATGGACTAAACCTGTCGCAATAAGCAGTCCACATACTTATGACTTTCGTCACCCTTGAACCTTTTCGGTTCGGCTGTAGCTAGCAGCCAGGTGTGGGGTAGTCAGCCCCGTATAGATCTATACACTCAAGTCACGCTCTCTAAATCCCAGAGATTCTAGTTACGGAGTAGTCCTCCACTCGCGTATCTCTGTGGAGTGTTCGCCGAGGACGTGTCTCCAATCATACAGGATTAACAGATTTACTAGTAATAATATGATAGTCCTCCACTCGCGTATATATGTGAAGTGTTACTGAGGATAAAACAATGTACATGTATTATGTTCAAATGTTCTGATACCATGCTTTTAACTGATAAAATGTGGAAAACCATTTGTGAAATATATGTAAAACATAGCAGTTTAAAACCTATTTCACAAATATATGTTACGTGATCTGCATGTTCAAACGGTTATCAGTTGTACTAATCAGAGTTAAAAGCATATAAAATGTGAAACACACACACATGAAAACATATTTTTGAGTACAAGTAATCCCTTGTACTTTGCTTGCGTTCCCCCCCTGAAAACAGTGAAAATAGTGAAAAAGGGTAGGGGTATGAACTCACCAGACTCGGAATTTCAACGGTTTCTGACACTAGACGTGGGTTCGAGGCTTGAGTATTCATGATGTCCCTATGTAAAATGTAATAATGTCCATATATATCTAATTAGAGATACATTCACTAATTATATGGAACATTACACTCCAACGAGGTTAAACACCTCAAAATGAGCGTTTCGAGTGACCCGGGTGACATCTACGGACGTGTATTGGTACTACGGACTTGGGACTTGAGTTTAATCCGCAAGAGTAAAGATTTAAGTGAGTTTACAACCACATAACACATACATACATGAGTTCACGTCCGTGAACTCATGTGGGTGTGGTTTTGAGGGTTTAATGGCTTATTGATTGTTGGAATGACTTACTAAAATGCCTTGAAATGGTTTGAAAGGATTGATACCATTTAAGAAGGAGTTCATGGCTCTAAACTTGGAGTTTACGACCGTAAACTCTCCTCTGGTTAAGGAAAATTGATTTGAGGTACAAGGAGCAATCACATGTGATTCTAATTAATTTTCCAAGGTTTTGTATCACTTTTGGGCGTCATTTAACATCAAATTGGGAGTATACAGCCCAAGTATACATACCATGGCCGTAAACTCTCCCATGTTCATGAATTATTAATTTTTGACACTGAAAATAATCACATGTAATTCTAGAAATTTTTCCAAGCCTTTGGGGTGAATTAGGGGCATGATTTGGCATGGTTTTAAGAGTTTACGGCCAAAGGGTATGTGCCTAAGCCGTAAACTCCTATATGTGGCATTTTTGATATATTACAAACCCCCAAACTATTTTTAGATGGATCTAGGATTTACCACAAGGCTTTTGGTTAAGTTACAAGGCATTTTGACATGTTTAAAGGTGTTATATCCCCATTTTTTAGAAGTTTACGGCCTAAGCACATGCCTTGCCCGTAAACTCTTGTTTGTCCCTCAAAATGTATGTTTAAGGTGTTCCAAGTCCAGGTTTGCAAGCCTCAAGGTCGTATCTAAGTCCCAACTATGATTTGGAAGGGTTAAATGGCTCAAAAATCCCATTATTGTGTGTTTACGGCCCAAGCTTCATCCTTGGCCGTAAACTCATGTTCTAGGTCCTAAATCCTAATTTAAACATCAATTTGAAGGCTAAAGAGGTTAGATAACAAGTTAGGGATGTTACCTCTTTGATTTTGGAGCCTTAAATCTTTGTTTTTGGACCTTTAATTTAAATGAGGAGAGAGGTTAGAGAGAGAGTAGTGAGATGAAGGCAAAAGCTTCAAATGAAGGCTTAGAACACATTATATAGTGTCTAAGTTTTGGACACGGTGGAATTCTACTCGATACTTGCGTTAGGCGAGGCTTTTGGTCGTACCCGATTAGGTTGCCGTAACCCGATATGGTAAATTCTAGAAATATTCCGATCACTAATATGGGGTGTTAAAATGATTTCTAAATGTATTAAGACACCCATTAAGTCATTTTAGATACGTACAAGCTAATGACTTAATTAAACAAGAAAATCGAAATCGAATTTGGAAACGACGATTGGTTGCTTGAATTGAACTATGAAAGAGTTACAAGAAGTGGTACGGAAAGTTCGGGTTGTTACATTATCCCCCCGTTAGAGGGAATTTCGTCCCAAAATTCAAAGTTAAAATCACGAGACAAGATACAAATCATGGATCTGGAAAGAGTTGTGGATACTTCTGTTTCATTGAGTCTTCCCGCTCCCAAGTGAATTCCGGTCCCCGCTTGGCATTCCAGCGAACCTTCACTAACGGGATGCGACTTTGCTTTGTACGTTTGACTTCTCGATCCATGATTTCGATCGGTTCCTCCACAAAGTTGAGGTTTTCATTAATATCGATCTCGTCTATGGGAATTGTTAGGGTTTCATCGGATAGGCACTTTTTGAGATTTGAAACATGGAAGACAGGATGAATGTTACTGAGTTCGTGAGGTAAACGAAGTTTATAGGCAACCGGACCGATCCTGGAGAGGATCTCGAAGGGTCCAATGTACCTCGGATTAAGTTTCCCATACTTACCAAAGCGTACTGTGCCTTTCCAGGGCGAGACCTTCAACAGGACACGGTCTCCAACCTGGAATTCCAGTGGTTTCCGACGGTTATCATCATAACTCTTCTGGCGATCACGTGAAGCTTTCAGTCGTTATCGGATTTGGATGATCTTCTCAGTGGTTTCACGGATGAGTTCAAGACCAGTGAGAGCACTATCGGGGAC